AACCTGAGGACTAATTTAACCAAATACTTCCAGCTGAGTTCACAAAAAGGAGGGCAGTTTCAAGAAAGGTTGTTATCAATGGGTTAATGCTACTACAGCCATGGACATCTTAAGCCTAGTCTGTATTTTCTTCTACTTGGGAAGAAGTTGGGGACAGAAGCAAATGTAAGTGAAGGATCCCATTTTTCATTTGCAGTGTATCTTGGTTATGTACATATTTTAATCTTGGTTGTATTTTTACAAGAAAGCAAAATTCAATCAATGCCACATGAAATTAACTTTTTACTTCTGAGAACTTCAAGTGAATTTCCTCTTTTCTCTATCTGTTCAATATTGCTACTCTCTTTTTTTAATACAAATCTGTTGTGAGCTGTGCATGACTTGTATTGTAATACTCTGTATTTTGCCCTGGTTGCGGGTGGTGGTGGTATATATATATACACATATATCTTCCAAGAAGAGTAACTTCCTGATTGGCATTTTGATTGAAAATGGATTCTTCAAAAGACAGAAGCATGATCCCTATTTGTACTCTTACAGGAGACCAAATTAAACATTCCCCTAGCTATAACTGATCAAGATCACTTTCCTCTGCCTTCCTGAAATCTATCCCTAGGAGGCTTTCTGGAAGCTATCCTGGCTTTACCACAGATAACAAAGTTTTTAGAAACATGGAATGAATATATTTTTAAGTTTACAAAACATTGACTATTTGAATTGATTTCTTCCATGTGAAAAAAACATTAAAAATTATGTTCTGTAAACAGATTGACCCTACTATTCCACTGTTTCAACAGGTATATTGTCTCAACACCTAAAGAATTCTATGTTGGAGCCTCTGAAAATGTAGTGATTCAAGTTTATGGATACACAGAATCATTTTCTGTGACCATTGCTATTAAAAGTTATCCTGACAAAAGTTTTACGTATTCTTTTGGCCAAGTTAATTTATCTCCAGAAAATAAATTCCAAAACTCTGCAAACTTAACTGTATGTATTCAACTTGTATTTTCTTTAATATACCAACTATTATTATTTGTAAAATATACACAGATGGTACATTGATCCATTTTACATATATGGATAAAAATGTGATACAACATACTACTAAGTGAGATCGTTAGTTGATGTGATATAAGTGTTATACATTTATACATGTAAATAAATGGGAAATGTTAGATGGAGAAACTGCTTCTTATTAGGGGAAAATGTAAGGAAATGTAAAAAGTCTGAATGAAGCAGGTAAAGGTTATTAAGGTGAAAAGATTTGGTGATGTGAGTTGAAAACTTAATCAACCAACACTTGCAACTATTGCAAAATTATATGATGAACACTAGGAAGAAATAATTTTGATACTTAAACTTTAGATAATATTCAGAGTAAATGTATGTGCATATTGACACATAAACATAGACTTGTCTCTTTTGTTTTAAAAAATTCAGAGAAGTGAACAGAGAACATTTTGAACATTTGTTTTCCTAAACTATATGCTACAACATTCTGTGGTTTTCTGAAAAAACGTTTTATTAAAATACATATCTATCATTTGGTAGGCTTTCTATACTTTGAATTTGAATCAAATAATTTTTTAAAACAAATTTATGAATGATGTTTAAAGAAAATTAGATAAGTGTCCAAAACCCTGTTACTATAAAGTATACGGACCCTATGCAATATATTTCAAAAGGGCCTCATACTAATTATACAATGAACAGTTAGACATCAAAAACAATAAAGGTTTTAGCTTTCAGTATAAGTCAGATATAATTATAAACATGAGGAATACTTTGTTCATTTATACTTCCATGTGATAAGACAGTCTACCCTCTACCTGGCGTATGAATCCTCCTATCTCTCCACCCCACCATTGCTGATATGTGAGTTTTTTGTCTTTTCTTAATGACTTTTGTTTATCTGGTCTATTAAAAATTGAATTTCTTTTCTAAAAAAAAAAAATCTAAATTTGATAAGAAACTAAACACAGAAGTAGTCCTGGAGAAAAATATATTGACTGTTCTATTTTACAAAATTTTTATGATGTTTGTTGTATGTAAACAATTGTTTGTATCATTAACATAAATACCTAAAATGCAATCCTTTTATTAGTTTGAGGTTATTATATAATATTCCTCCATTAACTTTCTTTTTTAATAGATCCAACCGAAAGATTTATCTGGAGGGCCACATGCAGTTTCACATGTATATTTAGAAGTTGTATCTGCCCATTTTTCAAAAGCAACAAAAATTCCACTATGCTATGACAATGGATTTCTCTTCATTCAGACAGACAAATCTGTTTACAATTCTGATCAGTCAGGTACAATAAAGGGGAAATTTTAATCCCTAGGAGAAATTTTGCATGATTTAATCAATATTATTGGGACAACTGACTTATCTTTTAGGACAAAATGAAGTTAATTTGCTACTTTATACCTTACTAAAAAGTAAAGTGTTGATGACCTAAAGATTAAACTGTAGCTTAGCAAAATAAAATATATTTTTATAATTTGGAGGCAAGAAAGACTTTTCTTAGAATGATGTCAAGGCTCTTTTTAAATGGTTAAAAAGAAATAAGTGATATATTGTAGAATTTGAGGTTAAGACAGAGGCTGAATTTTAACTTGGAAAAAAATCTCATTTTCATTCTCAATGTTATCTCCTCGTACAAATAATATTTCACTTGAATATTAACACTGAAAAATTGTGAACTAAATTGCAAAATCTACATAGCAATATCTGCCTCCATACGTTTCCATCAGAGAAGGTTTCAGTCTTCTTTCAGTAAAATCTCTCTTACAAAGCAACTCAAGGGAGGGAAGGAAGGCTGAGCAGGCTTAAGGGGTTGTACTGAATACAGCAGCACTTTATGAAACGGCCATTGAAGATGATGGTGATGATGATGATGATGATGATGCTAATTAGATAAGATGGAGATCTCTACTACGGTTTTAGCAACAGGATAGCATCCCTGCCAGTACACATTACTCTGGCCATAGACATCCAGGTTAGAACTATCCCTTGGACATCTCATTGGAAGATGACTAGATGTCTGTCTAAGGAGATAGGCCTTGCCTGTGAGGCTCTCACCCTTACATGTGCTCAACTACCTAATCATACCTTGAGACATTCAGATTCTTGTCTGCATCTTCCTTCTGAGTTTTCAGAATGTTTCATAGATTGAGCCCTGTTAACACAACCTACTGTTTAAGATCTTCCTTCTGTACTCTAATAATTTCAGGTGCCAATGAGCTACAGTCTTTCTTATCTATCAGTAGTTTAAAAACATACAAAATGTGGAGTAAACATAGTTCGTAATAAATTGAATCATATTTGCATAAATGCATATTATTTAAAAGAACCCATTCAGGAAACGTTTTTTGGAAAGAATATGTTTTTGACTTTAATATAATGCTTATGTCCAACATTCTAATTAACCTTTCCTTTTAAGCTTAGATTTTATATGCTGGGCTTTCCTAATTTTACTTTTAATTTCACGGCTCTCATTTTACAGGGTTATTAGTAATATTGTTAGATCATGTAGTGTTGAGCAGAGTTTCTAATAAGGACAGTATTTCTTACAGTCAAAGTTAGAGTTTATTCATTGGATAAAGACCTGAAACCATCCCAAAGAGAAGTTATCTTAACTTTTATAGTGAGTATGCTACTAGTTTAAGTCAAACTTTAGTCTTGGCATTTTCATTATACGAATAAAGAGTTTTCCTTTTTGTAAAACTAGTCACATGTGGCATTAATTTGTTCAGTATTAAATAGCAGTAAGCATTTGTTTAGCATCTACTATGGCTGCAACATGGTAGCTTTATACTTCTCTTTTCCCAATTGACAATTTCTGTATGTATATTAAATGTTAGTTGAAATATATTTTTATGGACCCGTTAAAGAACACTCTTTGGTGATTCCATCTCTAAAGTGGGTTAGTTAATCAGTTTGTACCCTTTTGATATCTGTGAGGTAGGGCAGATACGGTGAGGGTTGCAGAAGCATAAAATATAATACCTATGAGAAGTTCATGGCATATATTATATCCTCACAACAACCTTATAAGATCAATACTATTTTTATCCCATTTTATAGATGAAAAGGCTGAGGTTTAGAGAAATTAAGCAACTACTGAGGTTTTACTGATAGCAATTAGCTGAATCAGTGTTCAAACCCAGATCTGTCTCTCTCAGAGTCTCAGCATTTAGCCTTTCTCAGTTTATTTGGGGAATTATTGAGTGTGTCCCTCCATGGGCATTTGAGTTCAGGAGGCCAGACAGGTACACATAATGGAGCAAACCAAGTAAGGGATGATGTAAAACCAGTAGCAGACCTATTGAAGAGGAGACAAAGCTGGAGATGATATGCCCCCTCTCTGGATTAAATGACTACATGATGAGGGTGGGTCCTGGGCTGGGTCTTAAAGGAAGCCATGGAGAGGGTTTGATAGAGAGAAGCCTGCCAACATTTCATGTGGTGTGCTGAAGGAGCAAAGGCCTGGCCAGGAAGAAGCAAGAATGAGATGACCGTGACATTGGCTTGGCCAAAGCAGAATGGCCAAGAAACACTTTAGGAAGAGACAGTGGCAGCGTTGATATATTGTTTTAAGTTTGGGAAATTGTGTTGAGACAGACAGGTTCAGGCCTTGTAGAGGTGATGATGTCTGGTCCCATAGGGCTCACCATTCCCTTGTTAGAGTTCTCCCACTGAGAGAAGACACTGAACAGGTCAGAGGCAATTGTTGCTGCCATGTCCCAATGTGTTCAAATTTGATTTCAAAGGCAACAGGGAGTCAAGGAAGCCTTTCGGGAATGGCAGTGACATTATGAAAATAGCATTTGAGAAGATTATTCTAGAAGCCTTGTTCAGGAAGGAAGGAAGTGGGGAAGAGGCCTGCTAAGAGTTTATTTAATGTATTTTAAATATTTACCATACTACTTATGCTTGTTCAAAATATGCCTTCGTGGCTTAAAAATTAGTCTTTGCTAACAAGACTGACCAGTGACAGTTGTTGCCTCAATTCTAGGCTAGAATTACATGTGCTTAGTTTCAACAAAATTTCTTAGAATTTATTAGGGAATATTTCCATAAGAACTGTGCATCACACATTGTTTATTTTGTGTGATGCATAGTCCTTATGGAACTATGTATTTATATTTACCTATATTTATAGGTTGTTAAAAATTAAAACTTTGTTTCATTTTAACTCAAAGGATTCAGAAGGGTCAGAAGTTTACATAGGAGGAAAAAAAAACTATACTGGAATTATCACTTTTCCTGATTTCAAGATTCCATCTAATCGTAAGTATTTTAAATCATTTGTTAGTAAAGTTATTTCTCTAAAAGCAGTGGTAGTACCTGGGATAGTAAACAGTTCAAATGGAGCCATAAGGAAAGTTTGGTTTTGGCTGTTCTTATCAGGCCTAGTGAGCATCCTTCTTACCTAAAGGAATGTGGCACCTGCTTGGGCTCTTCTACATCAAGGCTGGAGGCCTTGACATAATACTCATGCTGTAAGCACCAAGTTAGTCTGTTCTATTCAATCTAGTGAATGCCTTCCAAGGCAAAATCCAGGTGGTGGACACTAGGAAATACAGATCCTGCCCCCAAAATGCTAAGAGCACAATGGAACCTGATCCTAGAAATGTAGTTTTGATTTCTTGGCATATTATATATTATATCTATTAATATGATTATGCTTCAAGACTGGTTCATCAACTGAATAATTAGTGTCTTTAAATCAAAAACATTTTCTAGTTAAATATATACTATGACATGCTATGGAAAGAAATGGTAACATGAAAATAAATTTAAATAGATTTACATCAATTCTACTTAAAATGCATATTTTGTTTATAATTGTAAGACATCTTTCAATGATGATAAATTAATTAATTTGTGCATAAATTTGAAGCTGCTGTCAGGGCCATCTCTGCATGGAATTGTGGTCAAGGGCTTTGGAACTAGAATGACTGAGGTTAAATCTCAGTTCCACCACCTACTAGCTCTGTGTCCCTGGGCAAGTTACTTTACCTCTCTGGGCCTCAATTTTCTGATTATAAAATAGGGATATAATATAACCTATCCCATAGCATTTCTGTGAGGACTGAATGAGTTAACACATGTAAGCCATGTAGAACAGTGCCTGGCTCGTAGTATGTGCTCATTTGAATATAAATTATGATTATTTGGGTAAATTAAATATATATTATTTGATGATACCTAAAATTTTAAATATATTGCTTTCACAGATATGGAACATGGACAATTAAAGCTAAATACAAAGAAGACTTCACAACAACAGGAACTGCGTATTTTGAAATTAAAAGTCATGGTAATTTCTCATAAATTACTGAGATTTCCAATGTGTGTTTTTAAAAATTATTCTCAATAATTTAATAGAATAAAAACTCATTAAAAGTGAAAGAAGCCAGACATAAATGGTCACATACTGTATGGGTTCATTTGTACAAAATATCCAGAATAGGTAAATCCATAACAGAAAGCAGATTACTGTATTTTTATGCAAATAAGGTAGCCTTCTGTGTTTGTTTGCCAGCCATGCTCTCCTCCCCAAGTATTTTCATAAGCGCCTGCTATGCCAATTTTTTTTTGCACAATGCTATGGAAGAAAATTAGCATAGTGCGCTTACAAAAATACCTGGGGCGGGGAGAGGCGGGGCTGGCAAACAAACGTAGAAGGCACATGTTACTTGTGTAAAAATAGGGTAGTGGTTGCCAGGGACTAGGGGAAGGAGGAAATGGGGAGCAACTGCTAATGAATATGGAATTTTCTTTTGGGATGGTAAAAATGTTTTGGAGCTAGACAGAGTTGACAGTTGCACATTGCATATGTACAAAATGCTACTGAATTGTATACTTGTAAGTGATTAATTTTACGTTATGTGAATTTTACCTCAATTAAATAAAAACTCATTAAAGGATAAAGAAGAGGCAGCGAGATGTGGTGAATGGACAGAGGTGGACTAGGACTGATAAACTGAGGGCCTGGAGCTTTCCATCCAGCTCACCTTGATTCAGTTGCTGAACTCTCTGGGTCTTGCTTCCTCATTATAGCTTTGCAGGGGATCAAATACAATAAGAGGGGAGGATTAGATAATGTCTTTGCGAGATCCACGATTCTCTGACACTGTTAAGAATCAGCTAGTTTGATCCTCTCACTTAAAAGTGAGGCTAGATGAGGAGGCTCAGAATCAGAGAAATAGAGAGACTTGTCCAGGTTCTCACAACCCCTTTGTCCAGACTGAGGACGAGAACTCTTCCTCTGGACCCCAAGCCCAATGCTCCTTCCCATCAGCCCTAAAAATTGTTGAGTGTTTGGAAAATTACAATGTTTGAGAAAAAAAGTATTTATTTTGGAAATATTCATATTAATTGTACTAATAATTAACTTATAACTAGCTCCTTCTGTTCATTTCTCATAGGAGCTTACTAGAGTATTAGTTTGCATGCTCTTATGTAAACTTGTTGTTAAACTATTTAAACCATGTTTTCTGCCAACCAGGGTGATGATGAGTCAGACAAGTGCTTATAATTAGGAGAGAAGAGCAGGTGCATGTAAACATTTGAAGCATTTAACATGCTAAAGCCACAGCAAAAAAATACTCCCTGAAGTAATTAAACTCTATGTTGGAGCCCTGGTGGCACAGTGGTTAAGAGTTCGGCTGCTAACCAAAAGGTCAGCAGTTCAAATCTACTAGTCACTCCTTGGAAACCCTACGGGGCAGTTCTACCCTGTCCTATAGGGTCACTATGAGTGAGAATTGACTCAATGACAATGGGTTTGGTTTTTGTTTGGTTTGGAATTGCTTATTAACTCTCTTGGTTGCTGTTCACAGTTACAAAGTTCTTGCTCAGTCTTTTTGCTCGTAGCCTGGAGGGAATTTTTCTCTAACACCAGAGAGAAGTAGCCAGAACAGTGAAACACTCCCTTTGCCCTTCTACAGCCAGCCCCTCACCATCTGCCCTAGTTACCCTGGAGCCAAGTGTTCCTTCTATCCGAAGGGCGGCATTCTCCTATTGGGTTAAGCAGCCTGAAGAGCAATGTGTGGTAAATAGGATTTTGAGGTCACTTGTTGAATGGGCATAAGGAAAAGACACCGCTGTTTAAACACAAAAGCATTATTTGGGAATTTTAGTTCCAAAGAGATGGAAAATCTAAAACTTCTCTTGGTTGTAACTCTCATTTTTGTGAGAAAATTATTTTTTACAGGAAAAAGGTGTCTTTTCTAGATGAAAATTTGAGATTTATGCTCATATTTTGGACACTGAATGGATTAGAGTTGCTCAACACAAGACAGATTCAAAAGAAGCAAGAATTTTCCAATTGTTGAACATTTATCAAACACTATATGAAAGGCACTGGTGTAAAGGTTTAAACAGACAAACAAGATCAGGACTTTGTCCTTATAGGGCTCATACTCTGCTAATTACACAAGTGCTTTAATCCAGGACAGCACTGCTGGAGCCAAAAAATGAGATTGATCCCTGATTGGGGAATCATGAGGCTTCCAGTAGTATTGATGATAATCATCACAAGGGGAAGGATACTGATGTTACTAATGTTCATGATCTATGCCATCATGCCAAGCAGTTCCTTGCTTGAGATATAATTATATAGATATGTATTTTTATGTACATTATATGTTGCTGTTGTTGTGTGTTGTCAAGTTGATTCTGACTTATATAAAATTATATATTATATATATATATTTTTTCTTAGATTTACTCTCGGTGAGACCACACTTCTCTATCTTAGTAGACCCAGAAAATTACCTCATTAACCATGAAAACTTTGAGGACTTCAAGATTACTATAAAAGCTAGGTAAGAAAGTTATTATTTTCAGATTTACCTAGCCCTTGAATGGCAAATAGGTTTCAAGAGTCAACTATGACTATTGGTAGTGCTTGCCGGGGCCCTGTGTTGAGAAAAATTCTGAGGTTCCAAGTAAAACATACTGTGACAAACAATAGTTATGGGAAGTGGGCTCAGGGATATTTACCTGAGGTGGATTTGCTGAATTCAATCTTGCTGCTATTTTAAAATCTTGTAAGCAAATAATCCTAAAGATTGAAGACTATGAAGAATATTTAGGTGACTACGCTGCTCAGGTATTAAGACTATGTTATGAAAACATTCACTTGGTTTTTATTTTTATGTGTTTTATTTGTGACCTAATTGATCATACAACTGATCATATCACTATGATCACACAACAATTAATCATATCCTGGACTTAATTACCAGAGATGATTTCAGCATTTATTAAACTAGCCCAGAAATCACACTTGGCAGATGAGCTAAGTAAATTGTCTTTCTAATGGGGACACAAGCTTATCTGTTTTATATGTAAATAGAGAAAGTTCATGTTTTTCTTTGACTCATAAGACGAATATGAGGCTAAACTGAAAATAACTTGCCTGTGGAATGGACATGATGTTGTCCATTTTACATGTCCATGTTACAGTCATGCAAGGAATGTGGCCCCTTACAAAGAAACCTGGATCCTAAGCTCAGTTCTCCACTAGCTTACTATGAACTTAAGAACAGTGGGCAGTTGGGCAAGTTCCTTCTGGGACTCAATTTTCTAATTTGTCGGTAGGAATAAAAATACCCGCCTTCGCTCTGCCACTATAGGATATAATGCAATACTAGAGATTAATACTGTTTCAAGAGTAAAAAATGTTATACCAAACTTCACATGGTTATATTTTATCTCTCTCATTACCATACCATAATTGTTTTATCAAAAAAGGGGCTGATTATATTTTGTTTTGACAGATATTCTTACAATAAGAGTGTAACTGAGGCTGACGTTTCTGTCTCTTTTGGAATAAGAGAAGATTTAGATGATAATAGAAAAGAAATGATGCATGAAACAACACAAAAGACAAACGTAAGAAGAGGTCACGTTACATTCACAGACGTGGAGAACTGGGGAGCAATCCATGAAAGCATAAAGAGAAAAAAAGAGCTTTCATTTTCCCCAGTGTTCGTGGAACTAAAAAAAAAAAAATCAGTAATGTTTTGGGCTTCATAAGTTTCCACTGATGGAAGCAGTTAAGCTTCAGGGACATTTGCCTTCAACTTGGAGGCTTGAATTTGCAAAACCTACTTCCAGAAGCAGTTTTATCTCTATTGACATGATATCCTGGGCTTTAGATAAGGTTCCATCAGCGGTATCGAAATTATGGCCTCAGATTCTGAATAGGATGAGCTATACTTCTGAATCACAGATTTTTAGTCTTTTTAACATTCTTTCTCTAGATGTTATAATATGGCTTAAGGTTTCAGACTTGAAAGAAATGACCTAAATATTAATCAGCGTTATAAGAACGGCCCATAGAATTGGGCTAGTAGTAACCACAATGACATTGCCAAGTGAAGATTTTGCAGGCTGATGAAAGCGGAATTTGTTATTCCCTCTCTGCGAGTTCTTCTCTAATTTAGGTTATATCTTTTTGTTCCCCTTTTAAAAAACAGCTGATTGATGGAGTTGCACAAATTAACTTTAATGCTACAAGGGCAATTAAAAACCTGTCATATAAAAGAGTAGAAGACTTAAATAACAAGTACCTTAATATTTTTGTAAAAGTACAAGAAAGTACAGGTAAGTTCCTAGACTAATCTGTAAATTCATTTTTTACAGCTCTTTCTTATTGAAAAGTTTTGACAGAAATCTGCAGCTTATAATTGGTGCAATGTTGGGCAAATACAGTTGCTAGATATGCTCCATGAAAATACTGCCCACCAGCTCAGTGCATGAGAAATGTTTATGAGACATCTTTCTGTAGGGATGACCTCTACTCCCACATTCACTGGACAGCTTTTTACAGTATTAAAAGGAACAGGTGATTTGCATACCAGATGGTTTTACTTGCAACAAATAAATTAGATAGTAACATTATTCACATTATGAAAACATTCCTGAAAGCATTTGGTGTTTGCTTACATGTTACTAAATTTTTAACACACATCTTCCACAACACTACCTGGTATTTGTTTGAATGTTGCCGTGGAAATGATAACCAACTGTTTCACAAATGTGAGCATCTGTTCCAACAGGATTATCAACTCATTGAGGGTATGAGGCTGTGCTCTCATTACTGGAAGAAAAACTAGGATAGCTGATCTGACAAATGGTCTGGAACACGACATTGTGGTTGAAATTGATGAATGGGCCACTTACCAACCTCCTGCAAATTGCACTTTATTGGGTCATAGCAGACCAGGCTCTTCCAGGTAGCCATAGCAATCATCCGGACTTAGGTTAATAATTGCATGAAAATAACCAAAGAATAGATGGATGGCTTATCCTTATCTAAATAAAGAAATAACAGAGGGATGGAGAGGGTCTTAATGCAGATCACTGTACTACATTGTACGTGCCAGTTTTTCAAAGCAAACACGTTATTCCACAGGTGGATCTGAAGAAACCACAGAAACTGATATCAAATATGGCTCTCTCCCTACACACTGAATTTGGTTGCTACTCCTCTTTTCCTGAAGCCTGGGATTCCATATTCCATCAAGGTTAGATGGTTAGAAAAATCTAATATGGCTACATTTTCCCACTTACTGGTATGTTACTTTGGAGTCCCTGGGTGGTGCAAACGGTTAATGTGCTCACTGCTAACAAAAAGGTTGGTAGTTCAAGTCCATCGAGAGGTGCCTCAGAAAAAAGGCCTGGTGATCTACTTCTGAAAAATCAGCCATTGAAAACCCTATGGAGCACATGTGGGGTCGCTATGAGTCAGAATTAACTCAACAGAAAT